ATTTGAAGTGGATTCTTATCTCATCCGCTTATTATACCTTCCATTCCCTCATTTCGATATATAATTTTCCAAAATATTTATTCTAATTCCATGGAAGGAATACATCCCAGCTGTATCCCCACTGCACAGTTACTCATTGTATCTATTTAGTTCTAAGCTCCTTCCTCATTGTTTTATCATTATTTATTTTTTCATGTCTCTCGTTCTGGATGGTAATATCTTTGAAGTCTCCTGTTATATTTATCTGTGACTACTGTCTCCTACCTTGTTCAGTACTTGGTCATAGAAGATGCTTAATAAATATGGGGTAGTATTGCACTACATAAAGTATTCAAGGTTCTCTGCAGTGTGCCCCTCTCCGCCTCTGCGATATTCTCTCCCATTACTTTCCTACACACCTAGCCATGTGATTGTATATTCATTGTTTATTCCTTGTGCCTTTTCTTCCACTTGGAATGCCCTGTCTCCCCCTTTTCTCTGCTTAGGGCCTTGATTCCAACCTACCTCCTCCATGAGACCTCCACCATTTAGAACATTCAGTTCAGTTCAGTTCAGTCACTCAGTCGTGTCTGACTCATTGCAACCCCATGAATCGCAGCATGCCAGGCCTCCCTGTCCATCACCAACTCCCGGAGTTTACTCAAACTCATGCCCATCGAGTCGGTGATGCCATCCAGACATCTCATCCTCTGTTGTCCCCTTCTCCTCCTGCCCCCAATCCTTCCCAGCATCAGGGTCTTTTCCAGTGAGTCAACTCTTCGCATCAGGTGGCCAAAGTATTGGAGTTTCAGCTTCAGCATCAGTCCTTCCAATGAACACCCAGGACTGATCTCCTTTAGGATGGACTGGCTGGATCTCCTTGCAGTCCAGGGGACTCTCAAGAGTCTTCTCCAACACCACAGTTCAAAAGCATCAATTCTTCGGCGCTCAGCTTTCTTCACAGTCCAACTCTCACATCGATACATGACCACTGGAAAAACCATAGCCTTGACCAGACGGACCTTTGTTGGCAAAGTAATGTCTCTGCTTTTTAATATGCTATCTAGGTTGGTCATAACTTTCCTTCCAAGGAGTAAGTGTCTTTTAATTTCATGGCTGCAGTCACCATTTGCAGTGATTTTGGAGCCCAAAAAATGAAGTCTGACACTGTTTCCACTGTCTCCCCATCTATTTCCCATGAGGTGATGGTAAACATTAGAACATTAGAAGTTTATAAATGTCCTTCTGCAGGTATTTTCATTAGGATAGATTTGCCCCCTAGCATATCTGTCAGTTTTCTTTGTGTTAATACCCTCTCTCATCTGGTTTGTGAGTTCAAATCCCTGTACCTCTCTAGATCTCTGTGTTATTAGCTAATGTGTTATCCAAGAGATTCTTAGTGAATAATCTGATAAAGAGAGAAACAGTTGTAGTCACCTAGAAGAGGCTTTATGTAGAGTGTTGCTGACTAGTTTGTGGAGAAATTTTAGTAAACAAAAAGTGAAAAGGTCTGCAGTCAACATGACTCAACTGGCATTGAAATTAATGAAGAGAAATAATCTCTATAAGCCAAGTGGCTCAGATTTGGATATAATTTGAGAAATAGCATTATAGCACTTTTTTTTCCCTTTCCTATCAGTCTTTAATATATACCCTTGTATATGTTGGTCATGGACCTCTTTGATCTTGTTTTTGACATTCATTGTGTTTTTACTTTGTCTCTGTGACCAGCTAACAATAGAGCATTTTTCAGTTTTTTTTCTCTCCTTCAGTCTGAATCACATATTCTTGGTCAGTTATTTGGGACCGTAACTGAGTCATTTCAATTACATGCTATTTGGTTCTGGAATGAAAGCTTGATTCTCTCTGTTAACTGCTGGCTCACCATATGTTGCTGTAATTCTGGAAAGCAGTGAAAATTGTGGTAGTATTGAAGGAGGAGTGGTGTTTTAATAATAAATTGCTTACATTTGTTTTATAATATAAGTAATTCACACATCTAGATATTCTGTAGGAAACAAATTATGGAAAATTTTTAGATATAAGGTAGCCATTATTAACCCTGGGGAAATGAATCTGAAAAAGATTAAAGGTCACAGTGACCTTCTTAAAGATCAAATATTTAGCTGATAGTAACTGCTAGGACAAAATTTCATAAAGGCAGGGACTTTGTTGTGTTCACTATTGTACTCAGCACTTAACATGGTGCTTGCATGCCAAGTTGCTTCAATAATGTCTGACTCTTTGTGACCCCATGGACTGTAGCCTGCCAGGCTCCTCTGTCCAGGGAATTCTCCAGGCAAGAATACTGGAGTGTGTAGCCATTCCCTTCTCCAGTAATATGGTGATGGGAAGTTAAATATGTGTTAAGGAGCAAGAAAGAGGAATTGAATTTATTTAACTCCAGATTATCACTCCCATCACTCCATCAAAGCTACTCATATTAGAATTGATACTATTCCAAGTCTTTTCTACCTTGCTTGTCTTGTCAGCAACATTTGACTGAACTAGTTACTCCCTTTCCTTGAAATACATCATTTAATTGACTTCCAGAATAATACATTGCCCATTTCCTTCCCCTTATTCCCTGGCCATTCCTCAGTCTGTTTGCTTCTCATCTTCCCAGATTCTCGACAGTGGAGTATTCCCAGGGCTCAGTTTTCAGAGGTTTCCTATTTATGCTCACTTCCTTGGTTATATCACTTAGTGCCATATTTTTAAATACCATTTAGACTCTAAAAATTACCAGCTTATATGTTTAACCTTGAGTCTTCTCCTGAACCTCTACTCTGATAGTTTGGATGATTGGTAGATATGTGAAGCCCAACATATCGAAAACCAGACTCCTAATATCTTATTCTTCCATCTGTCCCATTGGAAGGGTATAACTAATTTACACAAACTCAATTCTTCCAGTTGATTTCACCAAAAAACTTTGATATTATCATTGACAGTCTTAGTAGCAGATCCTGTTGACTGCATCTTCCAGGTGACATTTGAATCTGATCACTTTTTGCCTCCACTGCTATCAGAGGCAAACCAGCATTCTTATCCATGCTGTGTTGTTAATAATTTCTTAATTGATTTCCTTGACTCTGCCTATAGACATACTATAGACTTCTTGACACAGTAGCCAAGAAGATATTATTTTCCAAAAAAAAAATAAATAAAAGAGCCTGTCTTTTCAAAATAGAAGTCTAAATCCTTAAAATTTGCCTTTTTTACTTTATTTCCTACTTTTCAGTCTAGCCCTGTTGGCTTTCTTGGTATTTCTAATTATCAGGCATACACCCTACCCAACCCACAGAATCTTTGTGTGTGGTTTTTTTGTTTGTTAGTTTCTCTCTTTCTGGAATGTCCACATGATTTAGGTCTTGTGATATTTAATAAGGTCTTCAGGCCTATACTCCATAGAATTTTGCTAGGGTGGTTCTCTCTGTGAGGTCCCCATTGACCACCCTATGTAAAATTACAGCTGCTTCCCTACATACCTCTCCCACCCCACCCAGCAGCATTTCTTATTACCTATTTTCCTCCCATGGTATTTACCATCCTTCGATATACTGTATGTTTTACCTATTTATTTTAGAGAGGGTTGTGTGTTTTTAAATGTTTCTCCTTACAAGAATGTAAATTTTACTAGAATGTAAGTTCTACAAGGGTAGGAATTTATTCATTTATCTACCTTGATTTATTATGAAGTAATGGATGAGTATGAGGACTAGAATCCTGTTCTGTTTGGCCTCATAGCTAGACTATCATTAGTTCATGTGTATTTGTCCTTTGCTTTATATATCCATCCCTACCTTTATCCCACTCCTACTCAGAAGGCCTTGGAATTGATAAAGTTCTATAGATTTTCAGTTCAGTCACTCAGTCGTGTCTGACTGTTTGTGACCCCATGGACTGCAGCATGCCAGGCCTCTCTGTCCATCACCAACTCCTGGAGCTTGCTCAAATTCATGTCCATTGAGTCGGTGATGCCATCCAACCATCTCATCCTTTGTCGTCCCCTTCTCTTTCTGCCTTCAATCTTTCTCAGCATCAGGTGGCTAAAATACTGGAGTTTAAGCTTCAGTATCAGTCCTTCCAATGAATATTCAGGACTGATTTTCTTTAGGATTGACTGACTGGTTTGATCTCCTTGCAGTCCAAGGGACTCTCAAGAATCTTCTCCAACACCACAGTTCAAAAGCATCAGTTCTTTGGAGCTCAGCTTTCTTTTTAGTCCAACTCTCACATCCTCACATGACTACTAGAAAAACCATAGCTTTGACTAGACGGGCCTTTGTTGGCAAATAATGTCTTTGCTTTTTAATATACTGTCTAGGTTGATCATAGCTTTTCTTCCAAAAAGCAAGTGTCTTTTAATTTCATGGCTGCAGTCACCATCTGCAGTGATTTTGGATATGTGGATTGAATAATCAGATTATTAAATGTTTAGTCTTATAGTGGTAGTAACGATTGCTATGCTCAGTAGCTCAGTTGTGTCTGACTCTGCAACCCCATGGACTGTAGACTGCCAGGCTCCTCTATCCAGGGGATTTTCCAGGCAAGAATACTGGAGTGGGTTGCCATTTCCTTCCCCAGGGGATCTTCCCAACGTAAGAATCGAACCCACGTCTCCTGCATTAGAAGGCTGATTCTTTATTGCTGAGCCACTGGAGAAGCCCAAAATAGCTTTTAACGTTTGAATTCGCTTACTGAGGACTTGTTCTGTGTCAAGAATTTTCATGTGTTTTACATACATTACCTTTTTTGTTAAATCTATTTTGCCACGCAGTTTGTGGGATCTCAGTTCCCCAACTAGGGAATGAACCCAGGCCATGGTAGTAAAAGCATGGAATCCTAACCATTAGATCACCAGGGAACCCCCTAATGAAATTTACCTTCAAATATAGCTATGACATTGTAGTTGATTTTTTTTTTTTACTTTTACAAATGTTGAGTGTGTATGTGTATACTGTCACTATATATATATATATATATCTCCTGTGTATACATATATAATTTTTAAACAGGTCATCAGAACACCTCATGGGAGAGACTTCGATGATTCTTTGGAAAGGTGTGAAGACTATTTGAGTTCAAGGTCAGGCAGTAAGCCCCAGCATTCAGCCAGGACCTTACTTGTTCATTCAGCACCCTCTACCATGCCGAAGCATTCTCCAAGCCCTGTGTTAAATCGAGCTTCTCTCAGGGAAAGGTAATGCTTAGTTTCTATTTCTGTATTAATTTTTGAATAATCATTAGAAAAGAGCAGGCAGTAATTATGTATGTCACGTGATTATTTATAAAAGGGTAATTTGATTTTAAGAGAGTTTCTTTAAATTGTTTTTGCTTAGAACATATTGCACAGTGTCAGATACTCCTCCCCAGCCCAGTTCTCTCAAAGTGAGTTTATTAACTATAAGTGAGTTTATTAATTAGAGTCACTTTAACCCTAATTAAATATTGTAGTTCCCAAAGTGAAAAATAGAGTATATGATAATTGTTTTTAAGAGATTCATAGGAATTTAAGATTATAGTCATGACTTATGTATAAAAATAGCATAGTTATATTTTTTCTTTTACTGATAATAATGATACTGTATATTATGGGTTCATGGCACCTGTTTTCATCAAATTACCTATCCCCAACTGCCAAGAGAATCTCAATCCTGTTAATGATCTAGTTCTCCCTCTAAAAATGTTTTGGCAAACAAAGTTAAGACACTTGTTATAATTTGAATGTAAAAGAAATAATTCCTCTTCATCTGTTTTTGTTGTTGTTGAATCCAAATTGAAAATTCCTTGCCTCCCTCACAGTTAGTAACATAGAAAACAAGAATTGTCATAAATTAAAAAAAAAAAAAACACCCAACCCTTGGTATATAAGAAATTTTGTAGAAATTTGAAAACCTAAGAGATATACCGTCAACACATAGAAATATAATCTATCATCACACATAGTATCAAAAAGCTACAGAGGCACAGAGTCTCTACAGCATGCTAGGGCATCAGGCATAAATAAGAAAGCTTAAATTAGCTGTCGAGAGTCTATCAAAAGGTCATCTCCGATGATTCAAACAAGATGATTCAAACCGATGGTTCAAACAAGAGTGTGTCAGTTTGGGAACTGTAGTAAAGCACCCTTGTTATGAACACATAAATTTGTTTCATCATTAGTCCTGTAACCATTTGAAATCGGTATATGAAGGAATACTAGAGATGCTCATCCTAAATTAGGGAATTTTGACTAATGTTACTTCAAGTCAATCATGCCTCTAGAAATCAAGTTCAGATAGGTAGGTAGGTAGGTAGATAGATACATGCCTACATACATCTATATAGGGAGATATATGTCTGTGTATCTGTAGGTTTTAAAAGTTTAAGAGAAGCTCTTAAAGAGAGGTTTTTCTACTGAAGTCTGATAACTTGTGCCTCTGTTATCAGGGGACTTTCTTTGCATTCCACGTCTGCTCAGATGTTCAAACATTCAGTTGGTGCTACTAAATTTTCCCTAATTTTAGAATTAAGCACTTGTGGTTTTCTTGATTAGGTTCTTTGCTATATCTGTAGGTTTTCAAGCATTTTTTTAAACCTCTAACTCCTTGGATATCTTATTATAAACCTTGATTTATTTTTCTATCTTTTTGCATATTTTGCAGAAGTCTCCAATTGTCCACTGGTATAGTAAAATATCAAATTTAATCTTGTGTTGTTTTTTCCTTGTATATAATTTTGTCTCAGTATTTTGAAGTCAGTTTGATAAATTCTTCATTGAGGCTATTTTCAAAAATTCTTTACTGAGGCTAGCTAATGTCAGCTTTTTCATATTTCAGTGCAGGGGATGGTTTAGAGTAGGTGACAGCATTTATTTTGACGTTGGATAGTAGATATAGATAAATAAGTTCTTTGCTAGAAAGATAGCAGTGATTCAAATATTAAACATTACATATTTTACCTATGACTTGAAGAAATTTGAGGTACTTTCAAAATTAAATAATATAATAGTTATTTAGTTTGAACACATCTAAATAAGTTGGTAAAATTTTATTTGGGTACTTTCTAGTATAAATAAACTATTTTATTTTCACTAAGACAGAACACCTCTACTTCACTTGTATTTTCTAAAAAAATCTAGATATGGTCTGTAAAGGAAAGTAAAATGTATCAGACAATATGTCTTTAAGACATATTACCAAGAGAAAAAACATTTTATTCTTTTTAGCATGCTTAGTACCACGTGTTTAAATATAAGACTTTCTATGATCTGGCTTTTTAGGTCACTGAGAAATATACTAGAGTGTTTATACAATCCATTGGAATCAATAAACAATTTAAACTGATGTAAACGTAGATTGTATGTCCTCAGCAAAATTGGGAGTATGACAGAACATACAGCTCTGTTTTTTCTGGGTACATATTCATTAAAATTAAATAAGTTTTCCTCTAAGATTGCTGTAAAATGCTGACTCCTTATCATGTATAGGAATAAACACACTTTTGAAAGCTTTATCAGTGACTCTAAGCAGATGACTTTATTTATTTATCGTGAAGGTCCTTTTTGCTTTAAGCCTTTTAAAAGAATAGCTCCAGTAGAGTTAGTACACCATAAACGGGTTTCACTTTTGATTATAAGTGTTATGTTTCAAAAGCAGTTTTCTCTTCTAAGTATAAATATTAATATTATGGCATAATAATTATATTAGCTTATAGAGTTATTAATAAAATCAGACTAAGAAATAATAGCAGATCTATTTTAATAGGAGCTGATATTCTCATGCTAAAGGTTTTGCTTTCTAAAAGGAGTAAGACTGTTAGGCAGTCATTCCTTATACCACAGCACAGACTAGTGGATCCTCTCACAGTATCATCAAAGAGATCCTCCTGGAACTGCACATTTGAGTCTCTGATTTCCAGCACAGACTAGTGGATCCTCTCACAGTATCATCAAAGAGATCCTCCTGGAACTGCACATTTGAGTCTCTGATTTTCAAGATGTGTTACATAGGTAGCCAATAATAAGGCCTGCCAATATATTTCCATAAGTGGCAGGCAACACTTCCTATTACAAATGCAGGAGACTAAGATTTAGATATAGTTGATCATCCATTATTGATTGCATTCTTTGAAACGGATTATGTAAACCATTTATCCTGCTTACTAGTTTATACTTTGTGTAAACACATACAATTATAACTTTGTAAGGACAAACTAGAAGCTAGAAGGTTTTAAGCAAACTATTAGCATTTTAGTAACTCATTCCTTTTTAATGAATCCGTCTGCAATGCAGGAGACCCCGGTTAGATTCCTGGGTTGGGAAGATGTGTTGGAGAAGGGATAGGCTCCCCACTCCAGTATTCTTGGGCTTCCCTTGTGGTTCAGCTGGTAAAGAATCTGCCTGCAATGAGGGAGACCTGGGTTCAATCCCTGGGTTGGGAAGATCCCCTAGAGAAGGGAACAGCTACCCACTCCAGTTTTCTGGCCTGGAGAATTCCATGGTCTGAGTCGGACATGACTGACTCACTTTCTTTATAAAGGAATTATCAAGAATATGTCATGTAGATATGTTATAATCAGATGGATGTAGAAATTTTCATTATCACTTAAATAAAGCAAGATATCTTAATTATACTAGTGCCAGTTTTGAGTTTGGGAAATGCATGAGAAAGAGAAATGATGGGCTGCTTTACTTCTTCTTTGGCATGTTTAATTCCAAGAATGGAAAATAATTTTAAAGGTACTATATGTGGAATTATTGCTAATATAAAAATTTATATCTTTGTTTAGAGATAAAGCTCTAAAGAATTATATATGGACATTGTTAAAATGGTTAGGTATATAGATTTGCTGTTTCTAAAGCATGTCCAACTTTCTTAGACTATTAATTAAACATATTGTGAGGATCTAATACTACAGTTGAGGTTAAATATTTGATTTTATATCTGTCTCTCATCCTCAAAGAAAGAAAATATGTTATTCTCATCCTTATATGTTATCACAAAGAGATAAGAAAAAATAACTATGTGTCTGGCATTTGGTGATTTAATTTTCTCTCCCTCTTGCTGCAAGTCATCTTTGTTTTCTATGCCTACAGGTTCCATTCTGATTGGTGTTCACCTTCCAACTGTGATGAGATCCATGACCGGGTAAAGAATGTCTTGAAATCACATCAGGCTCATCAAAGACATTTATATGTTAGTTTCTAAATTTTTCTCTTGAAGGCTTTTTTTTTTAAATTAGGCATGAAAACCACCCAAGATGTTTAAGGCGCGCAACATTTAATCCCTGGGAAAGAAAAGAAAAGAAAAGATACAACCTCCATTTAATGGAAGTCAGTGGTTTAGCTAAAGACAACATATCTAACTTCCTGTTTGACCTGAGTCATTATGCAAAATGTTTGACATAGATCATGTTAACATAAAAAAAATTAGTGATAAGTATCTCATAAACAGTCAGTAAGTAGTGACCTCATGATAATTTTTCACAGCCTTCAAAATATGTTAACTCTTGTTTTATGACCCAGAATAAATTCCATTTCCTGCAAATAGATTTGATTGAATGGTAGAATGAGAGAAGGGATGAGACATGTGTTTTGGAGAAGTTTCCCAGCTGATTTTTATGTTAATTAAATACTTAAAAGAGGAAAAAAAGAGGTCAGGTTTATCAGTTTAGTACTAAATAACATTAGTATGAGAATCTGACGTAAGGCAAATGAACATTTAAATGAATGACAAGTGGGAAATAATTACAGTATATTATTCTTTTTATGTTTGGTATCTTGTTTCAGTCATTTATTTAAAAACAATTGTTTATCAGGAGTCGTGTTGGACACCAAGCTTGGTCCTGGGGATATAACTGGATTATGTGACATTGACATCATTTTATACAGTTGAAAGCTTCTATTATGCATACTGATTTTAAATTAAACTTGTTTTCAAAGTATAATATAATTACAGATAGTCCCAGTGACTGCCTCTCCCAAGGTTAACATTATCCTAACTTCTAATAACAAGATTAGAAGTGTTAGAAGATTAGAAGTAAAAGTATTGCATATTTTTTATGTTTATAGCAGTGAAACCCTACCATGTCTTTTCCCTTTTTTTTCTTATTTCATTTTGTTTTTCCAGTTCAGATATTTTTGCAGTCCAGACATCTTGTTACATAGTTCTTCACTCTTGCCTGCGGCATGGTATTTCATTGTGTGAAAATACTACCGTTGGTTAATGTATTCATCTATTGATGGACCTTTGGGTTGTTTCTGGTTTGAGCTATTTTAGAACTGTTATGAACAGTGTGTGTCCTCAGATAACACTGTATATATTTTATTTGGGTATGTTGCCACCACTGTATTGCTCAGTCATAAACTGTATAAACATTAAGCTTTTCCAAGTGATTTTAACAATTTACACTCCCACTACCAGAGTGTGTGAGTTCTGTTTGTTTCATTTGCTCACTTCTACTTGATAGGTTGTGTGCGTGTGTATGTGTGTGTGCATACATGCATTTTAATTTTGGCATTTTGATTGTGAGAAGTAGTTTTATCACATAATGGTTTTAATTTGCTGTTTCCTGGTGACTAGTTTATTGACTATTTGGGTATTCTCTTTTGTGAGTATTTGTTCAAGTTACTTGCCCATTTTTATACTGCGTTGTCTCTTTTAATTTGTTAAAATTTCCATGTAGATTCTTGATATGTCAGATATATGTTTTATAATTTTCTTTTCCCACTCTGTGCCTTGCCTTTCTTTCTCTTAATGATATCTTTTGATGAAAAGAAGTTCTTAAGTCCAATGAGTCCAATATATCTTTTTTATTAGCATTTTTAGAATGTTTGCCTTATCAATGGAAATAATCAATAAACAATCTAAAATAGGAATAGAAAGGTTTTATTAGAACCAGACTGAGAAAAAAAAAAAAAGAACCAGACTGAGAACTATAGCCCAAGAGATTTGAATTGTGAAGGAGTATCACTTGAATTGTGTTCTGCCAGACTACAAAATGGAGGAGGCTTATATCAGCAAAGATGATAGATAGGTATATGATAGATAGATGAGTTAAGTAAGGATTGGTCATGGTCCGAAATGGCTGTGTAGTCACAACAGGAGACCTTGTGACCTTAAGATTGCAGCTGACTGCTGCTGCAGATGTTGTCTGCTAGTGTTCTTGAGTTCGATAAAGTTCAGAAAAGCTGCTGGCCATAAGAACTGCTGGCTGTAGTTAGCATAAAGTTCAAGCCACATGACAAACAGGCCAGAATGCCTTCTCCATCCCTCAGTAAGTGAAAACTTCTTCTCTTAGTCTCCTTCAAGACTCCATTCTATGTTTTCTTCTAAAGACTTTTTGTTTTCTTTCACATTTAAATATATGATCTAGTTGGAATTATTTTTTCTGCATAGTGGTAGGAAGGTGGCAAATTTCAAGAAAGTTTCAAGTTCTATAACTGTGGATGTCTTTTTCTTTCTAGTTCTGTTAACTTTGTTTTATATATTTTGAAGCCATGTTGTTGGTTGGATACAGATTTCAGACTACGATACAAACCTTTTATTGTAAAGTGTCCTTTTTTATTTCTAGTGTTATTTCTTGTTTCATAGTACTGTGTAAGCAGCACCTACACTGCTCAGTGTATAGTTATAGCAACTTTATTTTGGCCATATATATATGGTGTATATTTTCCATCCTTTTTTTAATCATTATATTTAAAGTGTGTATCTTGTGAATAGCACATGAGATTTTTTTCCAGATTGAAAATCTATAATTTTTATGTAGACTGATGCAGCTTTCATTTGAATTAATAACTTTTTTTTATAATCCTTTTCCTTTTTTTTTTCCATTTATTTTTTATTAGTTGGAGGCTAATTACTTTACAATATTGTAGTAGTTTTTGTCATACATTGACATGAATCAGCCATGGATTTACATGTATTCCCCATCCTGATCCCCCCTCCCACCTCCCTCTCCACCCGATCCCTCTGGGTCTTCCCAGTGCACCAGGCCCGAGCACTCGTCTCATGCATCCAACCTGGGCTGGTGATCTGTTTCACCCTAGATAATATACATGTTTCGATGCTGTTCTCTTGAAACATCCCACCCTCGCCTTCTCCCAGAGTCCACAAGTCTGTTCTATACATCTGTGTCTCTTTTTCTGTTTTGCATATAGGGTTATCGTTACCATCTTTCTAAATTCCCTATATATGTGTTAGTATACTGTAATGGTCTTTATCTTTCTGGCTTACTTTACTCTGTATAATGGGCTCCATTTTCATCCATCTCATTAGAACTGATTCAAATGAATTCTTTTTAATGGCTGAGTAATATTCCATGGTGTATGTGTACCACAGCTTCCTTATCCATTCGTCTGCTGATGGGCATCTAGGTTGCTTCCATGTCCTGGCTATGATAAACAGTGCTGCGATGAACATTGGGGTGCACGTGTCTCTTTCAGATCTGGTTTCCTCGGTGTGTATGCCCAGAAGTGGGATTGCTGGGTCATATGGTAGATCTATTTCCAGTTTTTTAAGAAATCTCCACACTGTTTTCCATAGTGGCTGTACTAGTTTGCATTCCCACCAACAGTGTAAGAGGGTTCCCTTTTCTCCACACCCTCTCCAGCATTTATTGCTTGTAGACTTTTGGATAGCAGCCATCCTGACTGGCGTGTAATGGTACCTCATTGTGGTTTTAATTTGCATTTCTCTGATAATGAGTGATGTTGAGCATCTTTTCATGTGTTTTTTAGCCATCTGTATGTCTTCCTTGGAGAAATGTCTGTTTAGTTCTTTGGCCCATTTTTTGATTGGGTCATTTATTTTTCTGGAGTTGAGGTGGAGGAGTTGCTTGTATATTTTTGAGATTAATCCTTTGTCTGCCTTTTCCTTTTTATTAACTTGTTATTCAGCTTTTTAAACTATGTTATTGGTTGCCCTAGAGATTGCAACTTGCATACATAACAAATTATTTCTTTGTTGACCTCGCCAATAATGTTGGGACCTAAAAACATTTAACTGTTTTTTTAACCTGCCTCATTTTTTGGATATCTATTATCTTGCATTTTGATTCTACATATATAAAACACACAACAAATTCATTTTGTTTGTGTAGTAATGTTTATTTATTTTAATCACATATTTACCCTTTCTGTTATTCTTCTTCCATTCCTGAGATTGCATGTTCCAGTTTCACTTTTTGAGTCATCTTCCTCCTCCCTGTAGTACTTTCTTTAATGTTGCTATCCTGGCTTTGAATTCCAATTTTGTTTGTTTAAAAGCATCATGGTTCCACTTTTATGTAGGCTGGTTTTACTGGATATAAAACTGTGTTACATCCAGGTTGGTGGCTGTTTCCTTTTGGCACTTGGTCTTTATTTTTTGGCCATACCACAGGGATCTTAGCTCCCCAGTCAGGGACTGAACCGCTGCTGTCAGCAGTGAAAGCGTGGAGTCCTAACCACTGGACCACTAGGGAGTTTCCTCCTTTGACACTTTGAGGAAGCCATTCACTGTCTTCCGGCTTCTTTTGTGTCACTTGAATAGTCACTTGTCATTCCTTTGAAGTACTGTAGGGTTTCCCCACGCTGTTGCATTTAAGATTTGCTCTTCAGCTTTGTGTTTAGTAATCTTACTATGATATGCCTAAATGTAGTTTTCTTGGATTAATTCTACATTGTTTGCAGAGCTTCTTAACTTTTTAGGTTGATATCTTTCATCAGTTTTGGAAAACTCATTCATTCTTTCTTTAAACATTGCTTCTCTTCCAATACTGTCTCTCTGGAATTTCAAATTACACTTCTATAGGGTCTTTAGACTATATATCATATGTATCTTATGCTTGTTTTGATGTTTTTAATTTTTTGTCTCGTTAAAGAAATTTAATTTAAAGTTAGGAATCTCCCATATAGGAAAACCCTAAGCCCAGAGGCCCTTTCTAGTGAATTCAACCAAACCTTTAAGGAAAACATAATGCTAGTTTTACACATTCCTGAAAACAGAAGAAACAATCCATCCTGTGTCATCTCATGATATCAACATTTCTTTGAATGTCGAATAGATAATGACATTACAAAAAAAGAAAAATAGACCAAAATCCTACATAATATATACATAAAAATCCTTAACAACATGTTAGCAAATTAGAATCAGCAATATATAAAAATGAAAATGTATCATAATCAAGTGGACTTACCCCAGAAACACAATGT